CGGTAGACTCAAACTTTTCGGCCAAATCCAAAAAAACTAGGCCTCAGCGAGCGCTTAGTTCATGAAGGTGGGAGGTTCACCAATATAGATATTTGCACGCAGCGGCGCAGTACAAGGTGGCTGCCGTCTCGCTAAGACCGCCTTTTAGGCGCAAACGCGCATATCAACTATGATTTGTGACACCCTCGGCTCCGCCTCTCCAGACATCAAAGTGTCCACAAGCTTTTCCACCATGAGGGCCGCTTCAATGGCATTCTTTGCGCCTCCACGACAGAAGCTTCGTCATCGAGCAATGGCCACCGACAAGGGAAGGGCTGGTGGTTCTGGAAGAGATGCAATGTCACAAAAGGCGGACATCCAGACATCCGTGCATGTGTTGATTTCGTTTTCAACTCTGCTGCGCACTCCATCGAGTGTAGGCTTCAACCCACACTTTACATACGCAAGCTGTCACTGGCGCTTGCAGCTCAGCACTAAGTATACATGTTCAGCGTCGGAGCAAAATGCTCGAATCAAAAGCCCTCATCAGCAGCCGCCTGCCACAGCAAAAGCGGCGACAAAGTCACTAACATAACCCTGCAAAGAACCTGGTCACACCAAGTGTTCCACTCTTCATCAGTCCATTTGTCAGGGCAATTGGCACTCTTGTCAACCTTGTCCTTCCTTTTGTCACCTCCTGAGGCAGTCCGACAAAGGCTATTTTTCTGACAGATTTGATTGAATGCGCTCGAGCACACTGCGCTGAGGATTGGACGGCGCTTCAATGTCTTCACCAACTCTTTCACCGACCCGATCTTGTCGTCCCACTTCTGCACAAGAGCGGTGGGGCTACCAGATGGTTCTTGAAGGAACTCAGCAAAGAAGTCAAACAAAGGGACTGTGACAAGATCGAATCTCGAGGGAGATAAGTTTGAAGCGCGCAGGGTTTGAACGGTTTTGGGCCGCAGGCCTGCAGGGTCGTCGTGTTCGGCGCGCCATGAACCATGCTTTTCTCCGTCCTGCAATGTGGAAAACATTGGTGAACATTAACTTGTAAACTTAAAGGCCTGGAAGCCATATCATTGAGTTCCTTGTGCAAAGATGCACATTCTTTCCGATGCTCCTGCGCAGAAAGGCCCTCAACTCAAAACCAACCCTCTCACTGCACCCAAGCCCCCTTGTGTTTCAAGAAACGCACTCAAATGGTTAAACCCAAGAATGGCCATCGAGCCTCATTGCCATCATCTCTATCGGAAGCTGGATAGCCACTTGACGTGGAAGAATGGAAGAGGGTCACATGTGTTTTTCGAATGAAGGAAAATAGGAGCCCAGCGAACGAATGACTTTGTTCCCAGGGAGTGCAACGCCTTTTTGCGAATAGGTTTTCAATTACTCACGTCACTATGTCTTTAAAGTTGTTGCGCGTTGGTTTTATGTTTGCGCGTGGCCTTCTTCTCTTTCTCCTCCCTGAGCTTTTCTTCTTCTGTTTTCTTTTTGGGCGGTTCCTCTGGCTTTAGTGCCGGCTTTGGCTTTCGCTCCTTCTTATCTTTTCCCCTTCCATCACTCACTCGACGCACTGCTAGAGGCAGCAGCTTTCATCAACGGCCGCATTCCCTCGACCATCGCCCCCAAAGCAGTCTTTTTGGCTTCAATCACTTCAGGAGGCAGAGGTTCATTAACAGAATTCACAGTGCCCGACCCACGCGCGTAAGTCGTTTGAACGTCATGGAGGGAAATTGAAATTTGTTTCCAGCAAATGCAACAGTACACTTTCAGGCGCAAGCTTGTTTGCGAGGGTGTGGGCGACCCTTCTGGGTCGATTTGCCACGTAAGCCCTGGCAAGTTTAAGTGTAATCGGAAGAAGTACTTGGTCCAAAAAATAGAGCATTCAAACTCTCATGAAACACAGTTACCCCCAGCTTCCCCTCTGATTGTACTTCTTTTGCAAGTCCAAAGGAGACATCTCCAGGACACATTGTCCGATTTTGTTCGCTGGGGCCTTCCACACATGGCTTGAATTATTTGATTTCACTCGAGGCCACAGGAAAGGAACTACATGATACGCACATAGAGCCAAGATCAAAACGCTGCAACCTCAGCGGCAACCTCCACTCCCCGCCTTGGTCACGTACTGTCAAAAGAACCAAAAACAAAGAATCAGTCACATGACCGACTCTCTGACACCGTGCATGGTGTCTGTTGTCAACTCCACAAAAAATCAATCACATGACCGACTCTCTGACGCCGTACATGGTGTTTGTTGTCAGCTCAAAAAAACAAATCAGTCACATGGCCGACGCTCTGGCGCCGTATAAGGTGTTAATTGTCAACGGCGCACAATGCCCGGTGCTCTATGTTCCTTTTTCTCAAGAACTGCTGATGCGACTGATGAACAGCTTTAAAGCAAAGCTTGCACTTGAAGACGAACTTCTCAGGGATCCTAACAACTCCGAAAACTGCAGAAAACTTCCGGCCACATGCCGCGGTCTCCCCTTCAAGGAGCGCCCGCGCTGCTTCTGGATCCGGCAGGTGCTCAAATGAAACAGTGTTGAACCAATGCACGATGCGACTCTTCCAGTTTCGAGCAACGAGCTGGTCCTCGCTTTCTGAGCTGATTGCAGGCAGGGGCACTGAACCCAAGTCTGGGTCCTCCCTGATCTCTGGTTCTGAAAGCAAATCTTCCGTTCCGCTTGACGAAGAGGCTGAGTCCGAAACGTCTGACTCAATCTCAATCACCTCAGTCACGTCAGGACTAGTCAAATGACATGGTTCCTCTTTAATTCATCCACACAGGTTGGCGCTGCGTCAACACGCGTAACTCCTTTGAACACTGGAGTAACAGGCCGAAGCACAGGGAAAGGCGTGCCCCAATGGATTACCTACAGGAAAATATTCGGATCGCGCACTGTCCGGCAAGAACTTCTCGTCTCGGATCACGATCACCACTCTCTCCAAGGCCTTGACAGAGGCGAAGCACAAGTCTCTAGAGTAGACAGTGTCGGCCTCCTGCAGAGACGAGGAATGTCTGCCCAACAAGCGTCTCTGCTCTTTATGAGTCAACTCACTGCTTGTCACGGGACGTTGAGTCCAATCAAGGCTGCTTGTCAATGTGGGGGCCGGGAACAACGAACCATCAAGTTTTCCTGACACTTTCAATTCTGCTGCTTTGCGTATCGTGCTCTAACAGCACAGGGCGAAATGAGAATCGAAAGCAACAACGCTTTCTTTGCTGCGCTCTTCGCACCCTTATGGAATTTCATGGTGACCTGGACGAAACCTGCCTCATCTGCCATGTCATGCAAGACCTCATGGACATTCGCAAGATCGCTAGATCTGCACCGGCCGTACAACATCAGGAGAAGGTGTGAAGATGCTACACTGTCGGCAAGGGGCCTATTGAGGTCGCATGACGCAGCATGCAGTAACTTCACTTCACAAACGGAAAGCGGTCTGGCTTGCCACGTGATTGCTTTATTAGCTAATTGAAGCTCAGCCATACCAACAATCCGACGACTCTCAACACACGAAAGAGCTCCTGTCACACTTAACATGTAATGTGCAAATCTTAGCGCTTGAACGAACGATTGCGCCTTGGTGGCGGCTGCTTGACTACTCAAAAGAAATTGAATATAGGACCACACTTGAGACTCGTCATATCGGTCTGTGGCCAGCTCCACTGCGCACTGGTAGGCGCGAGCGGAGCTCCCCTCGACGGCGCTCTCGTTGTGGCAGCGTGCTCATTTTGGGAGACTTTCCATGGCAAGCGCAAGGGCGCCCCTCATGCTTTGGTGGCCTAAAATAACTTTCTTCGTGCCAAAAGCAGGAGATCGGAAGCGCTCGATGCGCAGATTTCGCGGCAGCCCTTTGGACTTGCTCTGATTTCGCGGCAGGTGCCGTCCATCTTGCACTTCGGACTTGTGGCTTGTTTTCAAAACTTAGGAGCATCTTGCGAGGAAGCTTTGTTTTGGCATCTGTAACTTGTCTTGGCAGCGCTTTTGTTACGGACTGCGTAAATGTCAATCTCGATTGGCGTGTTTCATAGGAAACGCGGCACTTTGTGAACATCAACGCACAGATTTCGTGGTGGCAGGTGCAGCACTTTGTCAACCTTCAAGTGCAGATTTCGCGGCAAGCGCAACACTCTGCGATCCTGGCTCTGCAGTTTCATGGCAGGCGCAGCACATTGTAAACATCGAAAGGTAGATTTCGTAGTAGGCACGGTGCAGCGCTGTGTGAACCTCACTGTGCAGATTTTGTGGCAAGCACAGCAATCTAATATGCATCTCAAAGTGCGGGGTGCTCTCTCATACCTGCGCTCTCAATTTGCGTGCTGTCATGTGTTTGCTCCTGTTTTCTGTGCCCTCACGTGTGGGCCCTCACCAGTGCTCTCACAAGTGTACTCTGTTATGTGAGCTCTCATGTGTGCACTTTCTCATGCCTGTGATCTCAGATGTGTGCTCTCGAGGGTTTGTTCACACATGTGTGCTCTCATACGCTTGCTGTCATATGTGTGCCCTCTCGCACATGTGTGCTCTCATGCGGTTGCTCACATACTTGTGCTCTCCCTGTGCTCTCGCATGTGTGCTCTGTTGTGTGTGTGTGCTCTCTCTCTCTCATATGTGTGCTCTCATGTGTTTGCTCACATATGTGTGCTCTCGTCTCTCGTATTATGCTCTCATATGAGTATATATTGAAGTTTGCTTTTCATTATTCTCTATTTATTAACACTGTTTTTTGGGGTCTCTTGCCGAGATAGCTGTGTAGAAGCTAGTGTGGTACACTTTTGTTCTTTGGGCAGGTTGAGGCGGTAGAAGTTTTGGCAGGATGAGCCAAAAGCGTCCTTACGTTGACAAAAACTGAGCCAGAAAAGGATAAAAGAAATGTCTAAAGGGTTCCAAATGTCCAAAGAAGAATGGACAAAGGAAGCACGAGAAAGAAATATGTTTGCACAACAACACTCAACCGCTTTTGACATCATAGTCGTCACTCCAGTTTCTCAAGCAAGATTCTAAGCGTGCAGCGTAAGACTGGGAGTCCTTCCTTGACCCGACCAAAATCACTGCCAAGCCCGGAGTGACATTGTGCTCAGCTCTCAGCTCAGCCTGGCAAACATCTGCAGTCTTAACCATAACTGGGACAAGTGTAAAAGATCGTCTGGAAATATGAGCTTCTGAGCAGGGCACTGTGCTCTTCTTGATCTCCGACCGAACCTCCAAGCGACCCCATGCGGGGTCGACAATCATGTAGATATAAAATTACACCACCGTAGACCCCAAACAGTTTGTGTTTTTCAAAATCGAAACTAGAGCTTGCGACGTCCAGAGCTGGGAGATAAATGTAAAGGATTGCAAGGCAGAGACGGACACAGCAGTACAGAGCGGGGGGACATATCTTAAGAAAGAAGTGAGAAGCCCTAACAGTAAACCTTTTGGGGAATTATTCTTCAAGCGCGAACATGATGCTGGTCATGCTGCTCAGTCAGCGGGGAGCTGACCACGTGAGGACAAGAAACAAAAGCATGAGGAGCGAAGGATGTGACATGAAATTGATTTTTGGTGCCTGACATGTGCCCTCCGCCCCAACTGAATAGAGAGATCGCTGCCACGCCGCCGAAATCCAATCCGGTCATTCATCCAACGGTTGCCCGAAAAGGAAAACAAAGCTGAGAGAGTTACACAGTGTGGCAGGAATGCAATCCCGGAGACAGTCACGCACCCCTTGCAAAGGAGCAAGAACCTTTCACAGGCGAACCTGTTCCAGCGGACAGGGCAGAAAACAGCAGTGCAGGCACCAAACCTGAAAGACAAAAAGAAAGAAATCACATGGGAGACAAATGAATAGAAATGCTACATGGCCAGCGGAAAAGGGCGGCAGCACCAGTGACAGACCCGGGAAACAAATTAATAGAAATGCTGCATGCCCAGCGGAAAAGGGCGGATACCAACAGTGACAGACCTGGGAGACTAATGATGCTGCGTGGCCGACGAAAAGGGCGGACACCAGCAGTGACAGACCTGGGAGACAAAACACTGGCAGTGACAGACCTGGGAGACAAATGAATAGAAATGCTACATGGCCAACGGCAAAGGGCGGACACCAACAGTGACAGACCTGGGAGACAAATGAATAGAAACAGCGGAAAAGGGCGGACACCACCAGTGACAAGCCTGGGGGACAAATGAATAGAAATGCTGCGTGGCCAGCGGAAAAGGGCTGAAATTAGCAGTGACAAAGACAAATGAATAGAAATGCTACATGGCACCAGCAGTGACGGACCTGGGAGACAAATGAAGCATTTCTGGGAGATAAATGAAAAGAACCGGGAGACAAATGAAAGCAAGTGGGAGACAAGCGGGCCGGGAACCCGACCACAAGCACCCAGCCTGGGAGACAAATGAAAA